AGGAGCAAAAGCACGGTAGAAGAGATATTTAATACTTATAATAATTATGATTTAAATCACTTACTCTTGGAACGTTTTGGTAATATACGTTCTGAATAATAGTAATTCCATTCTCAACTATTTCACTTATAGCCGATATTAATCTAATTCAATTTATTGACTAAATCGTCAATTAACAATCTTTAATTATTTAATAATTAGTCGTCGAACAACTCTCGCCTAGCTCACAGCTACTTTCCGCTAATCGCTAACTCCCCCTACGAGTTAAGCTTAAGTTAAAGCTTAAATATCCTCCTTCATTTACATAAACCGTGTTTTCTTCGTGAGAAAGTTTTCAACAGAACAATATTTTTAAAAAAATAGTGTTTCCCAAGAGGATTAGTAAGAGGCTCGCGGTTAAACCCGTAACAAGTTTAAGGAGACAAATGTATCCAGTCACACTTTTCTCCTAATTTATTTTTATCTATTTATTTATTTGAAATCAGGAAAAAGATTACAGTAATACTCCGAACGTACGCGATAGGTGGGACTGTGTGTGAGTGATAACCGCGTAAGTCGAATTCGTGTAAGTTGGGTTATAATTTCTCATGTAAATACATATAAATAATTTTTAGTTGGGCGGAGACGAAAGAAAATAATAATTTAGGGAAGAAAATGTTCAATAAAATCTGGATAACCCAAATACAAAATCGGAAACTAAAGTTATTTTGATGTAGAAGGTTTCATAAAATGTAACAAGTAGTCTGTCTACCTGCTAAAAAATTTTTTTTTCTCCCGCAAAATTTCTTCGCAACATGCTAATAATTTTTTCTTTCTTGTTTTGTTGAAAAAAATACTCTCTTCGTTAGAGTCTGTATTTCCTAAAATTTGCAACCCTTTTTCAATTAAATTGAGGCCTTATTTCCAATTTACGACCGTCATTCGATCTGGATCTACGGACTCAAGTTCTTCAATGTCTCGCTATATCTCATGCATTTTCCAATGAGTTCATCAATTGTCAGCTCCTTTTTGTCGGATTCGAATAGTTCTTGAATGACATCACTATCTACTTGTAAGTTAAGCCTCACAATTTAATTTTATTTATCATCTGCTTTTATATTTGTTTGAGACGTAAATTAGTATTCATTGCCTTTTGAAGTAGGTACATCGTTTGGCTTGTATATAACTGAGTTCGCGAGTGAAGTATGTTTAGCACAAAAACACTCAAGATGAAATATCGGTTAACATGAAATAATACAACGGACTCGACAAACTACTGTGTATTTTCATGCATTTTCGTTTGCTTAATACGAAAAGAAAATCGCTCAACGCCGAAAAAATTTCCATTAGTGAATGAACAATATACGGAAATCCAGACTTGCGCGCGCGCGCAGGCGAGATTTAAAAGGGATGTGAAATGAAAGAGACGTAGTTTCACATGTTCCGTAGAAAGGAGGCTAACTTGGCCTTGAAATACCCTCAGAATAGCGTGTTACAAGCCAATTTTATTTATCGAAGCTACTGTCACCACTTCTACAAACACCACACAAAAATATCTCATCTCATCTGAATTGGCTTTGAAATTCGGTGACGAGTGCATTGCAGTGTAATTAAAATCAGTAAATTTTCATCAATAAAATTTTTTTTTTTGAGAATTTTTTTACGAGCACAATGAAAAAGAGCTCAGGGGGAAGTAAACTGCTACTTCGCTTAAAATGAAGAAGGCTGGTGATCAAAAAAGAAGAAAAATTTGTATTAAGTTTTATTAAGTTCTTGTGAATGTTTTTGTTTCTTTAATTTTTATTTTATACAAGCATATATAAATCTATATCTATGTAAATAAAATGTTCTCTAATAAACTTAATTTTGTTGAATATACCTATGCTGTTTTTTTAACAAAATCCCTTAACACGAAAAAATATTTCAGTCCCCCTCAGTTTCGTGTTAAGCGATTTTCACTGTAGAAGGATTAGATTCTGATTCGGTTTAATAAAAAGTTAATGTTTTATTAACGGTTTCTTCTAAGATAAGTTTTTTTCCAGCTTCAACAGTATAATCCAGACAGTAGTGTACACACACAGTATAGCTAGCCCAAAACACATTATGTATGAATTTCGGATTTCTGTAATTGTTGAATTGTTTCTACCAACAATGCAGTGCGCAAAAATCTGGACATCCCAAAGAGAGAGAGAAATTCCGCTTACTCCAGTGATATATGTGAATACTTATCCTTCGCGCGTGTGTGTGTGTTATTACCCTCGACATTAATGTTTATGCTTACGCAATATTTTTGTCCATTTATCCCAAGTACTGGACATTATCATACCACGGATCTTAGACGGAGTAGCGAATCTAATTCCGTATGGGATGCTTGTTATGTCATTTATTCCAATTATGGTGCTTACGATTGTAACTTTCCGTGCGATACAATAATGTGGAAATACAGCGATTCTCAAATACTTTTTATTTATAAATCTATAGGGTATGAGTTTTGGGTTCATATAAGCCTATTCTGCGAAATTTAGAGAGTTTAAAAACGGAACACATTGTTGAAGTAGGGCTTTTCTGTAGTGGAACTTCTGCATTTATAAATGACCGTGGTAGCCAAGTGGTCAAGTTATCGGATCATGGCAGGCATGTCATGAGTTCAAGCCCAGTACCACTAAAGACTTGCCGTGTAACGGAGCGATGCACTTTAAATCTGTCGAGAGCTCAAACATCCTCCCCTTGGTGTGGTAGTTAGGAGAGGGGGTGCCAGCTCAGGTGTCGTCCTCGTCACTTGACCATGGTTCAAGTGAGTGAGTGAATATTAACGTCGCACTGTTCAGCTACACGAGGGCTTTTGCGAGGACTGCGTAATTTTGAACCATGATCAAGTAGCGCGGACGTCACCTGAGCTGGCACCCCCTCTCCTAACTACCACACCACACCAACGGGAGGACGTTTGAGCTCTCGACAGATTTAACGTGTATCGCTCCCATACACGGCGGGTCTTCAGTGGTACTGGGATCGAACTCATGACACTCTAGCCATAATCCGATGCCTTGACCATTGGGCTACCGCGGTCACTACCATGGTTCAAAATTACGAGGTCCATCGTTAAAAGCCCTCATGTAGCTGAACAGTGCAACGTTAATATTCACTCACTCACTCTGCATTTATAGTTAATATTAACGTACAATTTGCGCCTGAGTTTGATTGTTTTTTTTGGGGGGGGGGACATTAATATTCGATTTAGGATCTTTCAACTTTCAATGTAATTTATCATCTTTTTTATCTGTCTTTTGTGAAGTTTTGTATCACAAGTCTCTTCAGAATAATTTGAATTGTTTGTCTTCAAGTATCGTCTCATTTTCACCTTTAATACTTAAAAAAGAACCAAAAAAAAAAAACCAAAAAAAAAAAGAACCAAGAAAAAACCAAATAAAATACCAGCGAAGCATTAACATAAAAATTAAAAAATATGCACTAAATAAAGTTTTCGAGGAATCCTGGTTGAAAAACGCTGTTCAATCTAAAGAAAAAGAGTAGATAATTCAAAGTTCGAATCTTTTATTTTTTTTAGATCATTTGAAGTTATTTCATTGAACAAAAATAGAAAATATTATTTCATTCTTATTGATAATTTACACAAATAATTGCGCAGTATACTGAAAAAAATTAAAAATAAATTTCAAACGATGGTTTTTACACCGAAAAAATTTCTTTTAAATTATTATCGGAATTTCTAAAAAAGAAAATTCCCCAGGATAACATGAGAAAAGATGGTCAAAAAATATATAGGGTGGAAAAAAATCGTTTGTTCACATTGTTATCTTTTGTGCGTAGAAACTCACCACATTCGACTTTTATCGTCTAACTTCAAAGCTCCAACACATAAAACTAGAAGAAAAAAAATAAGAAAAGAAAAAAAAGCATGAACTTTTTTTTTCTCCCCGGAAATGTATCGTTTGTCCCTTCGAGCAGAGAAATCGTCTGACTTTTGTGCAAAGGCTGTGGGTCGATGGAAGGGATTGCCGTCCCGTCGTGCCATTGGAAGGGGCGAATTCTCTTCCCGGGGTGTTCTCGAGGGTCTTGATGGAGTGATGAGAGCCTCCATTCACTTTATCGTCTGCATTCCGGCGTGGGGTCGTTTGCATAACGACGGAGAGGAAGGGGAGGATTAGATTCCAACACGACGATTCTTTTCCTACTTGTGGAGTGGACGGGAAATGCAGAAAAGTGGAATTGCATACATAAGTTATTTTCTTAAGGTTAAAAGCCACTTTTTTTTTCAACTTAGGATTGTCACTTCAACTTATTGTAGTCAGAATATGCTCTAGCTCAGTTTTGTTTTAACTTTAGTTTTGTTTATTTTGAATTTTTTAATTGGTATTTTTAATGTTAATTTACTTTTTAAAAAAAGTAGAATAAACTACTTAGTTAAAAGAATCGTTTATTCAATTCTTCTCTGATAATAATTACTAATGTTTGTAAAATTAAACAATTTGTAGCAAAACTGTTTGAAATTGATCGTTAACTAATTTTGCTCTCTAAAATCTCGAAGTCGATGATAGCTCCTTTTAAATTTAATATTGTTATTATTTTAAATGAAAATATTATACCTTTGATTGAACACAACTTATTTTATTAACTTTTAATGATCGGTTAACGAATTTTACCCTTCATTTAGCGCCACACACTTCGTATCCCTATTCTACCATGTAATCATGAATACATTAAGTATACGACCTAATTAACATGCTTCAGCTCCTTATTTTTCTTTATTGAGAACATTTAGAAATCCCGTGCACCACACAATGTATAACACAAAGGAAAGATGGAACGATTACAACACAAAGATCCATGCATTCTCCGGGATTCGAACCCAGTCCCTACAGCACCGTAGTCAGCATCGCTAACCACTTTACCGGATGGGCGGCTCAGCTCCCTATTAGGCACTAGAGATTCATTTCGGTTCCAGTCTAGCCCAATCTCAAGCCATTTTTCCTCTTTCTATCATGGTAAAGAGGGAAAAGCTGCCTTGCCAGTATAATGGTTATACTACTTGGCTTGTAATAGAGTGGGTTCGGGTTCGAATCCCGAAAAAGGCAAGGATATATCTTCGGGTGAAAGAAGTCGGACTTTCGCCTGAAATGGATTCCCGTTTCGAATGGAAAGCAGCACAACCCTTCTGTTCTATGCCGGGATCATCGTTTGCAATAAAGTCTATAAACTACTGTGACTGTATTTTATGTTTCTGTCCATCTCTGTTGTATTGAATGTTCTGTTCTGTTTTTTTGTATGTATCCCAGGATGAAACGCACAACAATAATAAAGAGGGGAAAACACTAGATTGGTATTTATCAGGAAATAAAAGTATATTCATAAAAATAAGTAACTCTTAGAAAAAACTCAAAATACCCTCCCCAATTTACCTACTATTTAAATAACATTTTTAAAAAATTTATAATAGATTATGATTTCTTAAAATAACATGGCAAATCTTATCGGGAACCCATTCACTCTCTCACCCATCACGAGATCTCTAGAACTATTAGACCTACAGACTTGGAATTTGGTAAGCAAGTTCCTTTTCTTGCGTAGAGATAAATTTAGAATGGATTTTGCGGAAATCGATTCCCGTGAGGGGTTGCAAGGGTTTAAGGAGGCGTTATAGTTAAAAAATAAAATTATTTAACTGTTAGACTAACAAACTTGAAATTTGGTAAGCATCTTTCTTTTGGTGGATAGAGATTCACTAAGAACGGGTTTTGCGGAAGTCATTTTTGAGTAAGTGGGTTGCGGAAGCGTAAAGATAATTATTCTTCCGTTTCAGAAGTTCAAGTTCTGTCCTTTTAAAATTAAGAACCAAGTATTATAAAAATGATTTCCAATACAATCAAAAACTTAATGCTAAGACTTACAAACAGAATATAGTTAAGCATCATTAAGAAATATCCAGAAAAGAGTACAGGTAACGGCTAGGGCCAGTATAACAACGCTGCATTCGTAAAATTGATCTAATATTGAATACTCAACGCGTTGAATAACAAATTTTTTGACCAATCAATGTCAATTTTTTGGGATTCATATAACCAGTTAGGGGTATTTGAACTGCGTGCGTTTGGAAACTTTACTTAGAAAACATTGATTAAGAGTTAAATTCATTAAAAATATATAATCTTTTCCCTAAAAAATAATGAAGGAAAATATCAATAAATCCTGGTATCGTTATCTTATTCAATAGTTTTGTACTCCACGTTTCTTTGCGATTTAGAAATACAGATTTTAATAATGTTATTTAACTGGATATTATTCTTTGATTCTAGAAAATTGAACGAAAATAACCCAATTTACAAAGACTGATGTAAAAAATCATAAAATAAAAATTATTAACTAAAAATAGCACGTGCTCATATACTTCCATTAAATAATTATAATAAAAAAATATTTATTTTTGTCCCTTACATTCACACTTAGCTATATGTATAATATTAAAAAAAATTCCCCTCTCCCAGGTTTTTTTTTTCTTTCTTTTGTTTGATTGGATTATTAAAATTACCGAGTTTTTTCTACACATAATAGTAGTTTTTCGCAAACTTTGTTTAAAAGCATTATTCTTTATGCGTTTTTCTGAATAAATTCAATTTTAGATGCGTTAATTTATTTCTTAAGGCTCTACTATGTTAAGGACTACTTTCGGAACCATAAATTGGGAAAAGTGGATAAATGAATAATTTTTTTTTATGTTTAGTGCCAGTTAAGTTATAATATGCACATAAAATAGTTTTAAGAATATTATTACAATAAAAAATTATTTATACCTATATGTAGCTAAGAATTCTCTACAGAGCCTAAAATAAGCTTTTTAAAATATGTAATTTAGAAATGGATTTATTCAAATTTAAATATATTAGAGTTGAGAAATTTTAACAAAAAAACACTGGTTATTATTTCAATTGATAGTAACTCTGAAAATAATGTAAATTGTTCAAAAATCCTAGTTCAGTGCCGATATAGAAATCTTAGCTAGACATAGGCAAAATATTACTATTACAGAAGCCTTTTCCATAAAAAGAGAATGTTTTGAAAGTATGTCATTTTTTCTTCATTTTTTATCCAAAAATTGTATTCAAATATTTTTTATGGCAATAATATTCTTAAGAAATTTTACATGTATGTCCTAATTTAAGTGACACTAAATGTTAAAATTTATTCATATATACACTGTTGCAAAATCGCGGTTCTAAATGTAGTCGGGTAACTTAAATACGAAAACAAGTATAATGTGCTTTGAAGATTTTTGCATGAAACAGAGATGGTTTTCACACATACATTTCATACCACGTATCAATGTGGCATGCATTTGCAGCTATTTTCATGGTTCGTATTGTTTGTTTATTTATTTTTACTAGAAACGAAAATTTTATTTAAATTATAAAAGGTTGTTCGTAATATTTAATGAAAATATTTGTTGACAAAACAATACATTGAATGGATTTGAATTTCAAAATTCATTCAAACACCATCAAATAAATTTCAGTCTCTTTTGGGGAAAATACAACGATGATTCTCAATTGGGGATACGATGTAGAAGTTTGGACATCAGCTCACCAAACTGATTCAACATATTCTTTTTTATATGATTTAAATCTATAAAATCTGAATTTAAATCATTGTGTATACAGCAAATTAAATGCAACATCAATTAAACAAATCGAAAGACTATGTTTTTATTTTGTTTTGCTGATTGTGATATATTAAATTCTGAACCATAATCAAGCAACAAAAAGCATATTTAACTCATGCTTTATTCTATAAAATTCTACATAACATCAGGGTAAATGGTTAAATTTCAGTTATACGTATTTAACTTGATGAAGCTTCCATTACCAGTATATTGGTCCCTAAAATGATCGAGTCTCGAACTCAACACCCATAGTCTTAAAGAAGTGGCTCTATAAACAAAGAAATACCGAGAATCTCCAATCCGTTTTTGGTTTAAATCAATGTCGCTACAGAACTATACAGAACAGAACAACTGCCGCTCGCTACGGATCTGGAAATGATTGTCTCCAAGTAGATGGTGAAATCAAATGCAGTAAAATAGGTTTAACGCGAAAACGCTTAAGACTAAATATCGGCTAACACGAAATAATACAACACTTTTGACAAACTATTATGCATTTTCATGCATTTTTCCTCTTAACACGAAAAGGTTTTTTCAAGGAGGATATTGAAACTGAGCCGACACTTAATGAAATGTTTAAGAAAGTTTCTGCATTATTGGACTGTCCTAACTGTGTCATTGGAAGAATTCATTGCAACAGATAATGATAATGTGTGTACAATCCCAAATATGGCAGACACATTTTGGAGTTCAAAACTCAAAATATACCATTGGTGCAGATTCCGACGACGAAATTGAAGTGAATAATGCAGCTCCTTTCCCACGTCATCCCAAATGAGGAACATCATGAAAAGAATGCGCAGTTATTTAGACTCCCATTGTGAAATGGTGAAATGAATAACAAAATGGACGACATTCAACAATTTGTTCGCAATTTAATGCTAACAAAGATAATGCAAAGAAAAATATCAGATTATTTTCCAAAAGCTAAAAAAACGTGAACATTTTGTATTAAATTTCGTTAAGTTCTTGTATAAATTTTGTTTCATTGATTTTATTAAATACATACATACATACATATCTATGTAAGTAAAATGTACTCTAATAAATTTTATTTTGTTGAATATATGCTTTTTTTTTTAAATATCCTTTAACGCGAAATTCTCTTAACATGAAACAATATTTCAGTCCCCTGAGTTTCGTGTTAAATGATTTTTATTGTAACCTCTTATCCTCAATACTTAAAAGTCAAGTGACCAAGAGTCCAGTGACTTATTATGACCACGTAAGAAAATTATGGAAAGTTTAAAAAAATCAGTCTATCTTTATTGTAAGGAATTGGCTGTTATGCACTTTCTTTTCTAACAAATGCATTTTAAAACTTACATTAATTTCCGTTACATTTGTCATCTAAAACATAATCATATAGTATAGTTTAACCGTTTTTTAAAGATAAATATTTCCTACCCTACTTAAAAAATTTAACTGTGACTGTGCACGCTATGCTTTCCCGCGTTTCTTACTTCAACTTCTTTCGAAACAGAAGATTTTGACAGAGTCTCCTAGCTTACTGTGTGTTTGTTCATTGTACTGAATTGAATTATTTTTCAACTGCAGCATTATTGTTAAACTGGGGCATTATTGTTGTAAACGGGAAACGCACCGGACGCAATGTCCTTGCTCATCTTTGTTCAAAGGGGCAATCATAGCCAAGAACATTTAAATTTGAAATATTCGCAGCACCATCAAAGGTGAGATTTGTTTCTCCGTCCTCCTTTTACAATGAAATGAAATTAAATTAATTGCAAGTATTTTTATAATTAAAAGTGTATATCGTATCCATCTTTGAATTTTATTCAAACCACAAGCAACGGTGAACTAATAACTAGTGAGTTTTTAAAATAATGATTCATTTTAAAACAGGATCTTGTTTTCAATCCTATATGCTTTAAATATATTAATGAGTCATTATTATTTAGCAGCATTAATTATCATTTATGTACCGTACATTCTGGCGTAAGACGCGCACTTTTAACACAAAAAATAAGGTCGAAACTTTCGGGTATTTTTTATTTCTAAATATTTGTGTATAAACACTGTTTATTCAAAGGAAATTGCATATTTTATGAGTTTTCATTATTTTTTCAAATGGAAAGAGTTCGACCTATTCATCTTTCATTACATCTTAAGGCAAATAACCGAATTCTATTTCATCTTTTCATCATCTCTGATCTATAAATAAATAGTTATCTTCCATTCCATCTGGATTATTAGTATAGTACTAATTTTTTTCATAACTTTTTAAGAGTGTCAGGTTTAATTTCATACTGTGCTCTTTTTTATTCTCCATTTATGCAATATTTCTAGACGCATTTGGCCGCCTTTTGGAAATGTTTCTCTCCCCCCCCCCCCCTTCCAATAGCCACATACGCATTCTAACACTTTTTCTTGCTCTTTTGTGTTTTAGTTCTAGAAGTATACAGTT